ACCCTCTCATCTACACTCTCATCCACCCTCTCATCTACACTCTCATCTACCCTCTCATCCACCCTCTCATCTACACTCTCATCTACTCTCCCATTTCCCTCTCATCCAATTTCTCATCTACTCTCTCATCTATTCTCTCGTCTATACTCTCATCATCTACCCTCTCATCTACCCTCTCATCCAATCTCTCATCTACTCTTTCATCCACTCTCATCTAGTCTCTCATCTACCTTCTCATTTACCAGGGAAAACTTCATACACAGGCACCAAGACGAGGGGCTGCAAGTAGACCCACACCAGCTCAGCGCCTCACACCATGGACAACTCCAGAGTGGAATAAGATCCAGACCCTCTCAAGGAGATCGGTTCCAGAGCCCATGCTGTGCATCGAGGTGAGCCCAACTATTTTTAGTCACTACCTCTCAACCTCACACACAAGCTCAGACTCCTTCCCCACCAGAGAGTTTGCGTTCCAAGTCCTAAGAACCAGCTTTGGTAAGCTAGGGTCAGAGCGCCAAGGCCTTCAGCCACTGTCCATGGAGTCATGCACCTGACTTGTATGGCCCCTCCTGCAGGTGGTGGGCACACAAGAAGGCAAACCCATGTTGCTTGTTTGAGATGAACCCAACTGGGCCCCATGGGTAGAGACTTGGTCACTAGGCGCTCACCAAGGAGCCCCTTCCCTCAAGCACGGCTCCAGGATGGGACCCCGATAACCCAAATCTGAGCATGTGACATGTGACACCATATGTTTTGGAAAGATACTTTATTTTAAAACTCTTACAGATTTTTTTTTTCCAAGTTTCTGCAAAATGTTTTGTTTAATAGAGCCCTACTATGCACTAGATCCACTGATGTGTGTGCGTTTTGTGTAAAGTGAGAGGAGGCAGAACTTTCCGTTCTGTTGCACCATGTCTCCACAGCCCTACAGTCACAGAAATCACTGTGTGTTGCAGAACAGATTGTTCATAAATTTTGAATTGCTCCTTTTGGCTTTAATGAATTAGAAATAGTCGTTGTCACAAGTCCTGCAAATGAGCACTACAGTGGGTAGCTTAGAGGGATTGCCATGCAAAAAGACACACATGGTGACAGCTATGTTAAGGGCAGGGTAGATAAACACATGTTGTGTTTGATCAATCCCAAAAACAGTTCTTAGCATAAAGAATGTGGCTTCCACCACTGCTTACCAATTCGTACTTGTTCAGTGTTTGGCTTATAGGAAACACATAAATGGATAAAGAGAATGGATAATTAAAAAAAACATGTATCATTAAATTAATAAATTAATTAATCAAATACAGAGACATGCTCTCTATGTCAGTGGTTCCCAAACCTTTTAGTTTCTGACAAAGCTATGTACAAAATGTTAACAAAGATTTGTGGGATTTGCCTGGTTAAATTAAAGTTAATAAAACAAAATCTTGTGACCATATGTACAGTCGGTCCAAATAGACAACCTTGTGACAAAAACAGAAAAAAAACTGTTATAGAAGAACATAAGAATACAATTAATTATAATATCTACAATAACATTGTGTTCATGTACGTCTATTGCTTAAATTTTTATTTTTTGTCTCAAACTGAGAAAATCTGTCAAAAGCAATCATTAATTTATTGTAGGGTTTTGAGATCATCGAAGGATCCCTGGCTTAATGTTTCATGACCCACAATAGGGTCCTGTAGGAATAATTGGTCTGTTGATGCATGATCTAAAATGTAGTTGCTTTATTAAAAACATTTAAAAACACTGTAATTCTAAGATTAGCTTCTTTTTTAAACTTAATATGACATTGACCTTTGGGTCAGTAAATGTTCTGATGTTCAGTAAACTAATGTTCAGCTCTCTTTAAGTTATCATTTAGTTTATCATTTGCAAAGTGTCACAATCGGATTTGCATTCAGAACAAACCAGATACAGGAGCACAAAAAAAACTGTTTTTAATTTATTTGGCTGCTGGTTGCTGGGAGTCAGGGTCAAGATAGGAGTCCAATCTTCTCAATCTTGTAATGTAAATGGTAAATGGACTGTACTTATATAGAGCCTTTCTATCTTATTTCAAGATACTCAAAGTGTTTTACACTACAATCTGTGTCCTCATTTACCCATTCATACAGCACTCTACTAGATCTCTACAAAGCTAATTGAACAAATCATTCTAAAGAGACTAATCAGTGCTTTAGATCACATTCATACACTGATGGGACACACATCAGAGGCTATGAGGGATTCAGTGTCTTGCCCAGGGACACTTAAGCATGTGACTGCTGGTGGATTCGAACCCCCAACTCTTGCATTGGATGACGACTGCTCTAACCACTCAGCCACAGCCGCCCCGTGTGACAGGTGCTGTTGTCGATCTCCAGCCGGTGTTGTCACTCATGCAGACAGAGCTGCTACAGTGGGGTAGACTGAAGATTTGAGCCAGGCAGAGGAAATCCAGATACGTGGTCCGATGATCGTAGCGGAGGTCAAGCATGGGGAAACAGAAAACTTTGGTTACATACTGTAACCCCTGATTCTGTGAGTATGGGCGCAGCCCTTTAAGGCTGTCGCTAGTGGGTTTATCCTTTCGCGTGCAGCGCAGCTCTGAAAACTTTAGTCCACGCCCACCTACTGTGTGGGCCTCACTCCCCGGTCCATATAAATTACAGTGAGACCGGGTAATCGGCTCCCAAATAGCTTTTTTCTTCAGCCATTAGGAATCAGTGAGGCCCAGAGCTTAAAGGGCTGCACTTATACTCATAGAATATGGGGTTACAGAGCATAACCAACATTCTATTTTGAATAGGCTTTGCCCTTTAAGGTTTTCGCTAGTGGATTAAAGGCGAAGCAGGATGTAGTCTATGCCTCACTGGGTCCACTTAGACACAACATGAAGCACCTGCTTGCACAAAAAAAAAAACATTTCATCACTCAGCCTTCTGTGTGCATAATTATGCGCTACGTAATTGTGTGCTCCATGCGCAGGAGCGCAGCGGAGAAAAGATCTCTGGTGAGGAAAAGAGGCTGAGATAGCAGACCTGCTGCTGTGAATAGGAACAACGGAGGATACGAATTGTAACAGTGTAACGATGTACAGAGCAGACCAACAGCTCCTCAGGTTGAACCGATTAATAACGATAAAATCAGCAGTCATGAACTTGTGACTGATAATAAATAGCTCACAGTGTGACTGCATGCAGGCAGGTGTGAGCTCAACAAACAATAATCATTCTGTCAGAACCCTGAGAACAGAATGGGTCATGGAGAAAGTAGAAACATCACGCAGATAAAGCAAATAATTGAACATGGCGATGACTAGGCAGCCGCCATACAAATATCCTCCAAGGTCATCCCT